CCATTGTGTAAATATGCCACAGCTTTCTTGTCCACTCATCTACTGATGAGCCCTTGGGCCGTTTCCAGATCTTGGCTATTGTAAATAACACTGCTATGAATATAGGGGTGCATATATTCTTTCAAATTGGTGTTTCTGGTTTCTTAGGACATATTCCCAGAAGAGGGATCGCTGGGAAAAATGGCAGTTTCATTTTTAATTTTTTAAGGAACCTCCATACTATTTTCCACAGTGGCTGCACCAGTCTGCATTCCCACCAACATTGTACAAGGGTTCCCCTTTTTCCACATATTTGCCAGTACTTGTTGTTTGTTGATTTATTGGTGATAGCCGTTCTGGCAAGTATGAGGTGGTAGTTCATTGTGGTTTTAATTTGCATCTCTCTGTTGATTAGTTACATTGAACATCTTTTCATAAGTCTATTGGCCATCTGTATGTCCTCTTTGGAGAAGTGTCTATTCAGATCCTTTGCCTGTTTTTTAATTGGATTATCTTCCTGGTGTTGAGTTGTATAAATTATTTATATATTTTGGAAATTAACCCCTTATCAGATGTATCAATGGCAAATATGTTCTCCTATACAGTGGGTTCCCTTTTCGTTTTGTTGATGGTTTATTTTGCTGTGCAGGAGCTTTTTAGTTTGACGCATATTTTTGATGCAACTCCTGTGTGTGGAGTTTGTTTATCCCTAACCTTATTCCAGAAAAAAAAATAAAAGCAACTTATAAAATCACATAAATTAAGACTCCAAGTAAGCAAGAAATAAGGGTGGAGATGGAAAATAAAACCAGGCATGATGCCAAGACATGCATCATGTCTATACACTTAGTGTGAGCCGGGAACACGTTTGGCTCTGGTTTTCTAGCAGTCAACGCAGAATGAGAAACCTGGTTACGATGTCACGACATAAATACAGTTGCTCAGAAAAATTACAATCATTTTTCACATAAAGAAGAGTTAAAGTTTCTTCTCCACAGTTTTTAGAAAGAGGATACTATACGGTTTCATAAGCAATGTCTAGCAGCACTCTTCCTTTGCACAATAGACTTTCATGGTTGATTCTTATAGTGGATTTCAATGTGGGCGATGGCATTATACCAAAGATTATCTAATAAAATATTTTGGAATGAGCCAATTTTATTGTCAAGAACTATGATATTTTACTGTACGTGCAAGCTAACACGCACAGTACATGGATGCTGGCAGGAGACACAAAACTCCTGAGTCAAAGACAAAAAGGACTGTTTATTTATTCAGAGCAATAGCAGTAGCCTGCATATCAGCATTTGTGCCAGTTCTAGGTGCCCCAGTGCCCCATAGGGAAGCACAAGGAGGTATAGGTGACACCTACACACGCCATGGGTTGTATTATAGAACAGGAGCCCTGTCCTTAGGAAACCTGAATCGTTGACAATAGGAAGTGAGCATGTGTTTCCTTTACTCCAGAGGGAAACATTGCCTTTATTACATAGGGCAGTAAACAAACTTCTATCTTCCAAAGCTGTTTGCTATACAGATATTCTTTTTGTTTAAATTTTAAAAAATATTTTAAAAAATATATTTTTTATTGATTTCAGAGAGGAAGGGAGAGGGAGAGAGAGAAACATCAATGATGAGAGAGAATCATCAGCTGCCTCCTGTGCGCTCCCTACTGGGAATGAGCCTGCAACCCAGGCAGATGCCCTGACCAGGAATGGAACGGGTGACCTCTTGGTCCCTGTGTCTATGCTCAACCACTGAGCCACACCTGGCTGAGCTAAAATATTTTTTATTGATTTTTGCAGAGAGAAGAAGGGAGAGAGAGAGAGAGAGAGAGAAAGAGAGAGAGAGAGAGAGAGAAACACTGATGTGAGAGTGAAACATCCATTGTCTGCCTCCTGCACACCCTGCACTGGGGATCGAGTCAGCAACGTTGGGATGTGCCCTGACCAGGAATCAAACGAGCAACCTTTTGGTATCACTGGATGACCAACTGAGCCACACCAGCCAGAGCCAAATATTCTTGAAAAACAAGCCTGGAACACAGGGAATCAGTGCCTCTTCTCATAAGATGTGCAGAAATGGGAGGGACCCTTGACTTGTCTCCCAACAACTATCAATCCAGTCATACTCTAGTTCTCTCTGGTTTGATTCAGAGCTAACCTTTAGACTATCTGGAAGAATTGATGAATTTTGCTTCATTTGATACATACTCATCATACTTACTGCATTCTCATTATATGCACTGGGTACAGTGATAAGCAAAAACAGACATGGTTCCCGCCTTCACAGGATAAAGACAACGCACATATATTTTATGTGTTTTTCCAGCAGTTCTTCCTAAATGTTCTCAACAGGATTTTTTTATAATTTTCTTTTAACAGCAGTTTTAGGTTCACAGCAGAAGGTAGAGATTTCCCATATACCTACTCCTTGACCCCACACATTTAGAGATACAGCATATACCCTCCACCCTCCCCATCCCAACATCCCCATCAGAGTGGTACATTTGGAACAATTGATGAGCCTAAATTGACACATTGTTATCATCCAGAGTCTATATTTTACATACGGTTCACCCTCAATGTTGTGCATTCTATGGAGTTGAACAAGTGTGTAAAACTAGGCTTTTCACAGATATTGGTGAATACAATATTCTACAATCTCACAACTAATGGAGCTTTAGATTTCTATATTTTCAGATAAATACAGACACAACCAGGGCTTCGTGTTGGCCTTCTGTCATGACAGCTGAGAGACCTCACAGGGATGCACGGATTAGAGCAGAGCCGTCATCTCCATGGTACCCATGGTCAGAGGGTAATTCTTCCTTGAAAATGGCCATAAATCCTCGAATGATCACATGCCCACAGCTCTGGAGTTGTATTCCATGTAGCAAGGCGCTTACAGTTCCTCGGGACTATTTGTCCACCTCCCGCTTGGGTTGGGACTCTGACATGATAGGAAACTTTTCGTTCATTGAGAAGTGAAATGTCTCCTCTAACATGGTCTGCTTCTTTATGACGTGCCCCTCCCTGGTCTTTGGAGAGGAAGTCTTTCAGTGTCTTCACTGACTGCTCAGTGTCCTACTAGTTAAGGCAATAAATCACCTTTTCCGGACAAAATAATCGGAGATCAGCCTTTATTTAATTAGCTCCCAGACAGTTTCAAACTGCAAATAATGATTGCTCAAGCAGCCTACAGGCCAAGCAGAGACTGATCCCGTAATTCCATTACCTAACCCGCGGACCAGCCCCGCACATAGCCTTCTTCTCAATATTTCTGCTCGGTTATTTTTTCCCCTTAGGAACCTGTCTTTTCTGCTGGCACAGAGGCCTCCCTGGCAATGGCATATAGAGGCGGAATCAGCGGTGCCAGCTGGATGAATGTCCGAGCTCGGGTTCGAGAGAGCTGCCTAGTCGAGTAAAACATTAGAGATGAAAAGACCTGGTAAATAACCAGATCCCCTCAGTAACCAGGGCCAGAGCATTCCTAGGGTGAAAGCTGAGACCGCGCCAGCTCTAATGACTTTAACAATGCGCCTCCTCACACTTTATTCGGAAGACAGACAGGGCTGTCTCTTCAGCTTCTCTTTGGGAAGTTTATTGACTGGAATCTCATTTGACCAGAGTTAGTCCGCTTCCCTCAGCTACAGCAATCCCATGACATAGGCTATTTTCAGAGTCAATATGAATGTACAGACAACATTTAAAGCACTTTATTAATGCAGCCATTCCAGCAAGGCCTGTATTCAGGGAAATGTGAAGTAGGAGGAGAGCGGACACACATGAGCGTTGGAGATAGAAGCACCCAGTTAGAATATAGTTCTACTTACGTGGGGAAAATATTTTTGTTGTTTTCAGTGACTGTTATTTATTAAATGATTTCTGTGAGTCAGGTACTATGGTAAACACTATCCCAAAATCCTGCTAGCAAATGTATGAAATCGGTACTATCATCTCTACTTTAGAATTTAAAGTTTAGTAATTACGAGTGCAAGCTCTGGGGTTAAATTGCCTGATTAAAATGCCAGCTCTGTTGCTTACTAGTTGTGACCTTGTGCCTGCCACTTATCCTCTCTATGCCCAGTATTTGCCACCTGTAAAGTAGAGATGATGACCCTGGCTGCTTGTAGGTTATTTTGAGGAATAAATGTTTTAATATATGTGAACTGATCATATCAGCACCTGGCATGAAGCAAGCACTTAAATATAAGCAAAGTTGATGAGCTAGAGATGGAGCAATTTGTTCAAAGGCATATGGCATACACATTTAAACTCTGGTCAGTTCTATTGCAAAGCCCATCCAAATTATTAACCATTAGAATATACTGTCAGGACATTTAACTGTCTAAGCTTCAGGTTTTCTCACTGATAAAGTGGTGATATCATCATCCTTCCTGTACAGCCACTGTGAGGATTAGATTACAATAATGTGGGCACAGATACTATTACACAACATGGACCAGAGCTGTGGACAATCAGTGACAGTGAATTCACTATATCTCTGCATCTATATCTAGAGACTATCAGTATGTACGTGTGTGTGTGTGTGTGTGTGTGTGTGTGTGTACAATGAATAGCTGTGTAGGCAAGTATTCACTTTTAAATGTTTCTTATAATACTGGAACTTCAGAATGGTTAAAAGTGCATTTTTATGAGTTTACTCCCATTTAAAAGAAGAATTGGATTGGTGTACTGGATAATTAAAAACAGTTTCCTTCCTAATAAGGTTTTATTTTATATTTTTAACGTTCCAATGGTTTTAAGTATGTCTTTTCTGGATTTTTAAAAATAGCTCAACCAATGTTTCAAAATTGACTAAATACTTTTTCTTTCACAAACACAGATTGAACATAAGTTTGATGTTTATATCACAGGAGCAAGAGACAGACAGTTATAACCTAGTAGGAAATGTTATGATATGTTTTTGCTGTTGTGCCTTTCTTTTTTTTGGTGTGAGAAAGGGTGTGATGTCATGCTGTCTCCACCCCCTGTGAGTAAGCCCACGGCTCGGCTCAGTGCAGCCGCCCGCCTGTCACCGGGAGACAGTCCACTTAAATGCAGCTCCAGGGTTGCGGGACACCCACCAGCATCACTCCCCGTGTGAGGTGGCAAATGCAACATGCTGTCCAGCTTGGGGTGTCTCCTTCTCTGTGGAAGTTTTGCACTAGCCCTGGGAAATGCACAGAAATTGCCAAAAGGCAAGTAGCTCTGATGTGTTGTGTTTTAACAATAATTTTTAAGCGATACTAGTTTTGAAATGTTGACGTTAAGTGTGATCTGCTTTTCCAGATGGGGGTGGGGGGCATAGCGTTTTATAGGGTGGACAGTCTAAGTTCAGATGTGTGAAGGAGTTACTTAAACTTTTACTTTTTTTCCCCTCTCTCTGTTATTTACTTTTCAGTTGGATCTCTTTATTACAAAAATGAAATCCAACTTCTTATTTTAGGTTTAGCAGATGTTCACGGGAGCTTGCATGGTATCGTGTCCAACTACAGTATTTGTATGTGGAATCAAATTATATAGATGAGCATTGTAGTCTGTTAAAAAGAGTTTTTGGTGTTTTGTCTCCCTTCCCAGAGACTAAGCCAGTACTATCGTAAGGTTTTAAAGCAGCTAATTCGGAAACCTGAATCTTTGGTGTAAACCTCCCGCACACCTGTTCACTCGGAGGTTTGAGGACCCGAGGCGTGGCCCGTCAGCCATGTGTTAATTCATAGACACGCTTCTCCAGTGGAGTTTGGATGAGTTTTGATCTGCTGGACAGGACACTCCCCCCTTTCCTGGCTAAAGTGCTCTCATTTTAGAATTGGTATTTTGTTTACAAATGTCACCAGAAGCAAATTAATATTTTGAAAGTTAAACCCTAAAAACAATCGTTTGAGCCCATCAGCATGAAAGCAAGAGCTTTCCTCTCTCCTGCCTTTAAACGTAAACGTTACATGTACTTTTTTTGTTCCTTTGCAAAGGCACTTTCCGAAGCCAACTCCAGGTCCGAGAGGCTTTTTATGGTGACAGACTGCTTTAGTCAGCAGGATTAGGAAAACAGGCTGAAACTTACGTACAGTCGCAGTGGAAAATAGTGGAGGTAATGCAGAGCCACAGGCTTGTCAAAACCCTGCTGGGCAGGGAGTCAGAAGGCAAGGTTGTTAGTGTCAGAACATCCGAAAGCTCCGTCCTAGGGGATAGTTTGTCCCAAGTGACAGTTGTTCTCTCCTCAGTGTGTTGAGTGAAAGTTGAATCTAGAATTGTGAAGGCTGAAGGGTTTGGCTAGTTGATATTTAACATGATCACATAAAGAGTAAAGAAAAAGGCAAAGTTTAACTCTGGATAATTATGCAAAGAAAAAGAAAAACAAGTACGCACTATTAGATTTTTATCTTCTATCAAGAATTTTGTTTTTTGATCATAGAAGTGTTGCAATAAATCAATTATGAGCCACAAGCATAAGCATTCAGAATTAATTGTTCCTGCTGCTGAAATATTTAATAAGGTCACACCATTTGAGAGGAATCCAGGGGTTTTCTCAGGCTCAATTTTTACCTTCGTTTTATTTTACCTTTTATTCACTGTGCAGGGATGATAGTCACAATTTGTTACTGCAGATTTCTGCAAATTCCAAGTGCTTTAATTATCATGTTGTAATCACTGGATATAAATCTGTTGACATAATTTTTTAAATATGTTATGTTAAAAAAATTATCAAAACAGCCACAAAACTCTTCTTTAGTCCCAATGCACTTTAATCTGAAGTATTTTTATCCAGGCTCCTTTTGTAATTTTTGAAAATATCCATAGTTTTGGTAGTATTATAAAGTAAGTGGAAGTCTCCTTGCCTGTAATACTATATTTTTTCTTTATTATGAAAAAATACTACATTTTTTCTTTATTATGAAAGCTACGAAGAAACTTTCTTTTAGCTTTAACTGAAGTTGTCTTTCTCAAATTGCATTTCAGGAATAGGTGTACTGTCCTCAAAATGGGGTTGGGGAGCATCTACTCTCCATCAGTAACTTGGGGCGCACTCATGCTTTGTCTCCTTTTGGGGAGTCACAATAAACATAAGAATTTTACAGGATTTGAAACTTTTTAGTTAGGAAACCTGTCCAACTTGTTTAACCTATTGTTTCCCAAACTCATTTGACTAAGAATGCTTTTCTGGTGGAATAGCTATAATATCTTGCTAGGGGCTGTCTTTCAGCAGAACACATTTGGGGAAATGCTTAAATAAACAAGGAAAAAGGGGATAACACTTTTTCTTCTTTTTTTACTTTAGAGTCAGTTAAATATCATTTGTGATCTAAGAACAGGATAGAATTTTGAAGCTAGAAAGTACACTAGTGATCACATAGTTTAGTGTTCCCTGACCTTTGGGTTTATGAACCAGTAAAAATACATATGTGTTTTTAATGTCAGGTCCTGCTATGGAGGACATACTTGAATTTTGCCAGGTAAGGATGTCAAAGGAAAAAGATCACCATTGTTTATTAAAAAATAGCCACTTTAACAGATTTATAAAATAAGCAAATTTATGTAAATATATCCATTGTTCTTATTTTTTTCATTTCACCTCAGACTGATGAAGTTCATCACAGGCCAACATTTGGTAACTTCTGACCTAATACAACCATGTATTTTCAAATTAAGATGGGCGGGGGAAGTTTAGTAACTTTTCTACATTGATGGAAGAACCAGAACTGGGATCCTGGGCTTCTGACTTGAAACTGTGTTCTATTTGAGATATATAATATAACATAATCTAAATATATAAAAGCCTAAACGACCATTATGACTGGTCAAGATGACATGCACTGACCACCAGGAGGAAGATGCTCAACGCAGGAGCTGCTCCTGGTGGTCAATGCGCTCCCACAGCCAACCTCCTGCGACTAGCCAGCCAACCTCCCACAGTCCCTCCCCCCAGCCGGCCAGCCAACCTCCCACAGTCCCTCCCCTCAGCTGGCCAGCCAACCTCCCATGGTCCCTCCCCACCCCCCGGACTGGGTGAGATGGCCCTGATCAGCCCCAATTGCTGGCCAAGCCGAGGGACCCCAACCGTGTACGAATTCATGCACTGGGCCTCTAGTATATAAATAATACATGAGGATAGTCATTACCTTCCCCTACAAGGTGGGACAAAAGTAGGGTTACAGTTCATATGGAAAATCATACAATAATTGATAAATAATTCATATATATAAAAGCCTAAGCAACTGTTACAACCAGGGGACTGGATGACCAGATGACCAGCCGGTAGCTATGACATGCATTTACCACCAGGGCCAGATGCTCAATGCAGGAGCTGCCCCCTGGTGGTCAGTGCGCTCCCACAGCCAACCTTCCGTGGTCCCTCCCTCCAGCCGGCCAGCCTTGATCAGGACTGGGTGAGATGGCCCTGATTGGTCCTGATCACCAGCCAGGCTGAGGGACCCCACTCGTGCATGAATTCATGCACCAGGCCTCTAGTAATACAATAATAAACTCTGTGTTTTGTGTACTCACAACTGTTACCCTACTTTTGCCCACCCTGTATATATAAATATTTTGTTATTTATAAGAAAAAGAAATTATTTTTAATAAGAAGTCACTCAGTGCATGTCTTATGCATGTTTGCATATTTAGTCACATACTTATAGAAAATAAATTATGAGTCGCTGCTTTTTAAAAGCTTAGAGTTGGAGACTATTATTAATAGACGTCTCATCTTCACTTCTCAATTACTATATTCCTTGATAAATCATTTACCTTTGCTAAGTCTCAGTTTTCTCATCTGTAAATGGGAATAATGTTAATAATCACATAGTATTTTAGGATTAAATGCAATAAGAGATGCAAAGCTTTTAGTGAAGAGTCTAACGTATAACAAGTATTCATTCAATAAATATTATTGGGTTACAGAAAAGTGGGTCAATACTGAAAAAAATATGCATTCCAAGTAATACATGTGTCCAAACTGTCAGATAAATCTATTGGAGGATAGAAAATGTGGTGACAAGTTCTTGGCAGAAAGGTGTGGCAAGGGAATAAGTGTTGCTCTACAATGAGAGAAGGCCTCTACCATGTCCCAGTCTGACCATTGTCAACACAGTGTTTGATTGTCTGTGGAAATCTGCACCTTTGCCTTAGGATCAGCTTTTCCCTTAAGATTGTTAAGGCCTCATGGAACCTCCAGGAGACATTCTCTTGCACTTGTTTTCAATAGGAGGATTATGCTATAACACACAGGCCCTAGAGAAGAATTACCACATTGTTTTACACCTTTGACATCCCTGTGCTCCAGCTACCTCTCAGAATCTTTGTTCTTGGCACCATAGAACTTCTTTTTTTCCCCCTGGAGTACAGGCTAAAGTAAAAACCACAGAGAACACACATATAGTGAAGGGAGCCAACAAAAGCTTATAATGAGACATGAGGGGCTTGACACACCTCTTTGCAGAAAATCCTGTGTAATAAGCCAGAAGGCAAAGGCTACTATTTCTAGCCAACTCTATCAGTCCTCCTGAGGCATATGGGCAGAGAGCAGCAGAGGAGCATCCAAGATACAAGTGCAATCAGATGGGCCGAGAGCATGAGGCTCTTGGGAGCGACTCTTGGCATGTGGCAAAGGAAAGTCACATCTGGCTCTTTGCCTCAGGTTCTTACCTGACAAGGTAGAAATCTCTGACTCCAAGGACAAAACACACAGGGGTAGATGATAATAACAATAGCTCTCATAGCTATTAATAACTGTTATTATTATTATCACAGATAACATTCTTTGGGCTCACATTAGATAGTTGTGGTAATTTATGGCTAAATATTCTTTTTTAAAAAATATATTTTTATTGATTTCAGAGAGGAAAGGAGAGGGAGAGAGAGACAGAAACATCAATGATGAGAGAGAATCATTGATCGGCTGCCTCCTGCATACCCCCTACTGGGGATCAAGCCTGCAACCCGGGCATGTGCCCTTGACTGGAATCGAACCTGGGACCTTTCAGTCCGCAGGCTGACATTCTAGCCACTGAGTCAAACCAGCTAGGGCTGGCTAAATATTCTTAATGTGGAAAATCTAACTAAATTCCCAAAGCTTTCCTATAAAGCAGGTGTTTTATTACTCTCATTTTATAGAGCATAAAAATGTTTGCCTCAGTGTTTAAGTGATTTGCCCAAAGTCACTCAGCCAGCAAGTGGCAAAAGATTATACCCTTAATTTCTATGT